TATATCCTAAGAAACCCGAAACACCAATCAGAAAGAATGTATGCACCCCCGTGTGCATAGCAGCACAATTTACAATAGTTAAGATCTGGAAACTGCCCAAGTGCCCATCAATAGATGAGTGGGTAAAAAAAGCTGTGGTACATTTACACCATGGGATACTATGCAGCAGTAAAAAAGAAGAATCTCTTACCCTTTGAGACAGCATGGAGGGACCTGGAGAGTATCATGCTAAGTGAAATAAGTCAGTCAGGGAAAGACAAGTATCACAGATCTCACTCATATGTGGAATCTAAGTAACAAAATAAACCGATGAACAGAGTGGATCCAGAGACATGGAAGCATGGAACAGAGTGCAGAATCTCAGAGGGAAGGTGGGGGAGAGTGGGTGAATGGGAGGTAGTCAATGAAAAACCTTGTATGCACATATGCATAACCCATGGACAGAGACAACAGTGTGCTGAAGGCCTGGGGTAGGAGGGCTGGGACAGGCTGGAGGGGGTCAATGGGGGATAAAGAGGGGCTTATGTAATATTTCAACAATAAAAAAATTATTTAAAAAATAAAAATAGCCCTAGCTAGTTTGACTCAGTGGATAGAGCGTCAGCCTGCGGACTGGAGGGTCCTGGGTTCGATTCCAGTCAAAGGCACATGCCTGGGTTGTGGGCTTGATCCCCAGTAGGGGGTGTGCAGGAGGCAGTCAATCAATGATTCTCTCATCATTGATGTTTCTGTCTCACTCTTCCTCTCCCTTCCTCTCTGAAATAAATAAAAATATTTTTCAATAGATCCAGAGACATGGAAGCATGCAACAGACTTATGAATCTCAGAGGGAAGGAGGTGTGGTAAGAAATTGACCAAAGAACTTATATGCATGTATGTATAGCCCATGAACACAAACAATTGTGTGGTGAAGGCCTGGGGTGGGGTTGGGAGCAGAGTGGAGGGGGTCAATGGGGGGAAAAGAGGGACAGCTGTAATACTTTCAACAATAAAGATAAATAAATAATAAATGAACTGCGGGACATGTGCACATTGGAATACTATGTGGCTGTAAAAAGAAGGATCACTTACCCTTCGTGATAGCATGGATGGACCTGGAGAGTTATATGCTAAGTGAAATAGCCAGTCAGAGAAAGACAAGTATCACATGATCTGACTTATATGTGGAATCTAATGAACAAAATAAGCTGAGGCATGGATGAAACAGACTGACAGATCTCAGAGGGGTGGGGGAATGGCGGTGATGGGAAGAGATTAACCAAAGAACTTTTATACATATATGCATAGCCCATGGACACAGAAATAGTGGGGTGAAGGTCTGGGGTGGGACAAGGGCTGGGTGGAGGAAAGCAAGGGGGGACATTGGGGGACATCTGTAATACTCTTAATATAAATACATATATTTCTAAAAAGAGAGAGAGACATGAATCTCTACCATTCCCTCTGGGATGTGATGCTCTTTTTTAATTTACATCTTGACCAGGGATGAAGTAGGGAGGCAGTTTCACAGCATTCCACTTGACCTTACCCATTTTGATAGTTTTTACCCTACAGGCTAAGAAACCAATTTGACTGGCCAACTACAACTACATTTATTCTGGTCGTACATTCAAGGTCTTGGGAAACTACCACTAGATGGGACAATGAACCCTGTTGACCTACCATTAGACAGGACTCTACTTATTACTTGGCTCCCATATTCCCCCATTCTAACACAGAGGTCAGCATGATGCCTCAAGTCCTTAAACAGAGCCTTGAAACTTGTGGGTACTCCTCTTTTCCCAGTGTAACTTCAGGTTCCTTTGGGGGAGGACTGGAAAAATCATCCCAGATGTTTGATGTGGTGTTGCAGGGGCCTTCCTTCTGATAATTTGGCTTCTTTAGTCAATGGGTTATTGGTCTGAAAACTGCCTGAGGTCTGTAAATGGGGCAAAAGACTGGCATTTTATTAACCTCAACCTCTTAATCATCCACCCTTGGTTCCATTTGATTCTATAGATTGCGCACCACCAATGTTGTCTGCCCATATGTTGTGCCTGTAGAGACACTTTGTTCTTTGCCTCCGTGGCTCTCTGAAGATAAAGTATTTCCTCTACTTTCCCAGGCCCCCTTCCACTTTGATCTCTCTGCTCATTATGCTCACTGAGCTCACCTTGTTTCTGAAGGTTAAGTGCCACCCTCAGGGAGCCCGGTTCTGTAACAAACCCCCTACTGTCAGCCTCAGCCTGTGGAGGACAGCCACCACTGAACTTTTCACTGATGCCGGTGCCCCCTCCCACTAGCACATTCTGCACCTAACAGGTCTTCCAAGCCTTCCAGCTTTATATACTGATCCATTATCCAGCCTTACATACTCTACCTGTTCTTGGCACTTACTTCTCTGAGCCTTGCAACCCCTTCTTTCATCATTTGCCAAGCAATTCTGGCATTTCTGCTTCCATCTATTTCTCCAAGCCTCCACAAGTCCTAGCAATACATTAGCACCATCTCCTGGCATCCTTGCCAGAACGTTTACACCCATATCACAGGACTACATTCCTTTTCAATAAACTCGCCAATAAATAAATAAATAAATAAATAAATAAACAAATAAACTCGCCAGTACTCAACTATAGGTTCTGCCCTCCTTGATCCAGCCTCCTCAGCATCCAGACCCATATACTCTTCTGCTTCCTACAGATACAGATTGGCGAGGGTCTGCGGTAACTTCAGGGGATAGTGCTTTTTTGTTGATTTTAGAGCAAGAGAGAGAAAAACATTGATTTGTTGTTTCTCTTATGTATGCATTCATTGGTTGTTTCTTGTATGTGCTCTGACCAAGGATGGAACCTGCAACCTTGGTGTATCAGGATGACGCTCTATCCAACTGAACTATCCAGCCAGGGCCCAGTGGATAGTTCTTTTCTTCCCTTATTAGGCCCAACATTTCCCCTGTTGAGTTCTGTGGTGACTTGACCCTAGTTATTGGTAGTGACCAGGAGGGGAGGAAAGAATAGATTGTGAGAGGGGAACAGGTTTTATTGCAAAGTAGAGGCCTCTGTCTGTATCATTTTCAAGTGGGCCACTTTTGCTGGCCCCAGGAATTTAGAGGGATTGGTGTTTTGAGATGTTAGCCTACATTAATCCAAACGTCCCCATCCTGCGTCTCAGGGTTCTACTCCTTTCCAAGCAGGTCCTGACCTTGGCAACGCAAATTTTCCGGGGTTGAGAATTCAACCTTATCTGAAGTTATGCTGCTCTTACATTTTACCATCCGGCTTCAAGGAGCCTCTGATCTCCACGCTTTTCCTTAAATTGGTGATTAACCACCCTCTCAGCCTTTCCTTGTCAATAGTTCTCAGTAATAGCCATTCAATTCCATAGTCCTTAAAATTGCTACCTGCCCAATCTCATAAAGTGCATTCCCTTCCATCAGTATCCCATCTCAGTTCTACACCAGTGACAGATTTAATAATTATGCTACTACAGCCTAACATGCACGGTCAGTACTGCACCAATCTCAGGTGACAGTGCCCTCATTGCCAGCAAGCTGACTGTCCGATTAGTATTTGAATAGTGGGAGATTGTAGCCTAGCCGAGTCGACACATTTGCCTGGTGTGGTAACTTGAGGACTCTCTGACACTCGTCCCATCGAGAGTTGGGGTCCACATCTACCTCTGCTTGATTCTGCACAGACTTGTAACTGGTTTGGCTGAGAGGATGATGGAAGTGATGCTATGAGGCTTCCAAGGGAGCCTCTCTCTTGTTCACTAGAGGACTGCTCCTGAAGCCCAGGGCCACCTTGTAAAAAGCCCAACCACCCTCGCACTTCGTGCTGGGAAGTCCACAGTAGGCACTCCGGCCAAATCCAAGCTGAGTTCATCCTTAGGCCGCCTCAGCCCAGCACAAGGCATGTGAGTCAAGAAGCCTTCTTGGAAGTGGACCCTCACCGCCGTCCAATCACCGCCACTCGGGCTCCAGACGGTGCAGCGAAGGGGAGCCACACGCGGGGTTCCCCCGCCCGATTCTCGAGCCACAGAGTCCGTCCACGCGGTAATGCTTGCCCTTTTATTTTATTATTGATTTTTTACAGAGACGAAGGGAGAGGAATAGAGAGTTAGAAACATCCATGAGAGAGAAACATTGATCAGCTGCCTCCTGCACGCCCCCTACTGGGGATGTGCCCGCAACCAAGGTACATGCCCTTGACCGGAATCGAACCTGGGACCCTTCAGTCCGCAGGCCGACGCTCTATCCACTGAGCCAAACCGGTTCGGCTGCTTGCCCTTTAAAGCCACCCAGTGGGCAGTGGTTTGCGGGCACAGCATTAGATAACAGGAACACCCGGACTATGTTTTTCTATCCGTTTCTTTTCAAGCATTTTGCGTATGTTTTGAGTCTCTTGTAAACAGCACGCTTTCGGATGTTGTTCTTTTTTTCCAACCTGAGAGTCTCGGAATCGGATTCCCGAGGAGGGACTCGGGACCTTTAACAGTGAGTGTCTGCTTACAGCAAAGCCCCGGCCAGCACTTGGGCTTTTCACCTTTAGACCCATCTCCTCTCCCCATCCTTCTGGGAACTCTGGCACCAGGTTTACTCTGGTTAATTAGCGGGGCTCCAACCCTCCCGCCCGCGCGCTTCTCCCCCCGCAACACGCTGGGCGCTCCCGCACCTCCAAGTCGCCCCGCAGACCTGCCTCCGACCAGGACAACTCGGAGGAAGGGCCCCTTCACCACGTTGACGGCCAACCAGCAAGCCGCGGGGCTGGGCCGGAGGAGGTTGCCATGGCGACCAGTCCGCCGAGA